AAGTTTCTTTCTTTCAGCCGTCCGACTGTGTAGATAAAAGATGAAAGTGAAGGAGGGGACGGTCGAAGGAGATTGAACCGGGACGGATCGACTTTGATTATAGAAGCCGTTCGAGACGATTATCTCCTTTGGAAGCTGCATCATTATTCGTTAAGTTTCGAATATACACCGGAGTTGATCGAATGAGACAAAACCGGAAACGTATTCAATTGTGAAACTGAAAAAGGCGACTCCAAAGGAAATCTTAAATCGGGCGTGCTTTTCCCGGGAGATTCGTATGCTGACGAGGAACGCACCGCGACACACTCCACCGCACAAAAATCCAACTCGTGCAAGAAACGATTGTGCAAATCAACGACTACGCCCGGAAACGACGAATACAGAGAACAACTCTGACAGATGTGACGGAATCGCGGCTCGATATTGACCCGGATCAGGGGGTAATGGGATATTGGGCTGTCTAGCCTGCCGACCGGAGCTATGACTTATCCCAAACACTCCCTGGAGAATTTCGGATAACGATCACCGATAATGGCGGCCTGCAGATGCAACCAAATCCGATCTCACTACAGGAACGTCTAAAATTACTTTTTTTCATATCTTTCATTTCTCGGCCTTATGATCTATTCGATACAGGAATCAGTCTCAGAGCATAGCTTTATGTTCAATTTTGTTTATTTTAGTTTGTTTTCGATGTATTGCTCAAAAAAATAAAAAATGCTTTGTTATATTTGTCACTTGTACCTAATACCATACGTTTATTGCCCATTGGGCCAATTGCAGACCAGTTTAGGGGCTAAGTAAGAAGATATATATTTGTCATGTTTTTATCTATTTTTTATTTGATGCAGCATAATTTTTAGTCTTCTCGTTATTTCTTTTTCTTGAGTATTTGGGGGTGGAGGTGAAAGGAAAAGTCCACATAAAAATTTGAAGTATACTGTTACCTTTGTAGTTTGGGAACTTAAGTAATTTAAAAATCCAGTTCATTATTGTGATGTGAGGCAAATGCAAAACTTTTATCAATGAAAGGTATCCTCCATTATTTAATTAATCTATCAAAATGTCAGTTTCGAAAATATCAATTAGATCTAGTTTTAAAAATAGCTTAAAACAGTAAATGGTTTTGACAATGATATTATAATAAGCGTTATTAACAAATTATCAATAAATTTAAATAATGATGTCAAAACCAAGTACATATTTTATAACTCTTTATAATTTAAAAAATAATGTTTCCATATTGACATAAAAAAAATAATAAAAATATTTTGCACTTCAATGCATGAATATGTGAAGTCATTTTATAAAGTTTGTAACAATTATTATAATAAATTGTAATGTGCAAACGCGTATGTTTGTAAACAACATTATAAATAATTTTTTTAATAATCATTAAAATAATTGATACCATATTTTTAATCAAGAACAATTCACTTACTGTAGAACAATTAAAATTTTGAATGTAAAAGTTTTTTTTCTTAACCGTTTTACTTCTGCCTTGAGAATAAAATTCTATGCAAATCGTTTAAATTTCTAGAAATTTCTAAGAAAACTGGAAGACTGTTTCGAATTTCCTGGCGTGAATGTATCCAGGAATTGATCTAGTGCTGTTGTCAGTTTTATTTCATTCGGAATTCGGGTTTTGCCGCACGTTCGGTCATAATCGCGAATTTGTGTTTGGGTCGGCAATATGGTGCTTGATTTACGAGTGCAGTAATGTCCCGGATGAATCGGGGCAGGTATAGCAAGCGGCCCAACCGTCTTAATTCAGCAAAGTTGATGAATTCGTCTTTTTCTTGACTTCAAACGAATCCGGTCTATTGGTGTTTAGTGAGGCTTCCTGCAAAGCTCTCTTACTCTTCGCTCAATCAAGCAACCGATATTAATCGACATTTCTCAAAGATAAATAAGTCTTTTCACTCGCAGGAAAGTACTGATTACATTCGTCATTTTTCCAAAGGATTAGGGAGTAATCAAAACGGACTTGTTCAATATCGGCGTTTCTGATACAACCCCCAAAAGGACCGTGTTTATGACCCCCCATAAAAGGGTTGTGAGCTACCGACGGAGTCCACTGATAATTCCGCGGCTTATATCTTTAATATATACGCCACCGGGTACAATGGTAAAAAAGTGTACCCCGACAGAGGTGGATTCATTCCCCCTGTTATTACATAAAACCGGGCACATTTAAATTAGAATAGACCATTACAGATACGAGATACGGGGCCTTATAATTGTTAAAACTCACTGCTAAGTGAAATTTTTGCTGGTTTATCCAGATAATGCTGGCTAAGCATTAATCAGTACAGGGTGACTCATAGCACGATACGTGATGTAAATTCAAAACGAGGTAGGGAGTGACATTTTCAGGCACCACAGTGAGTTCTTACAAACTATAAACTTCTGAAAAAAAGAGCTTCAAAAAAGCTTTCTGAAATTTGTTTATCGTGAAAATACAGTTTAATCCTGATTTTGCATTGTTTATTGATTCTTGTATTAATTTGGAGACCTTGTATTTTATTACAAAAATAGTGATAATGGTGATTAAAAGTGGTTGTAAAGTGAAAATATTTTTTGTGTGTGAGTGATGTTAATTTGTCATCTTAGGAAAAGCTCAACAACTGAAAGCCATTTTTGGGGCTTTAGGAAATGTGACCGGAGCTGCTCAAGTGAGCGCGAGTCTAACTAATCCTCTTATTGCTACATTTCTCGGTCTGTTTGCTGAGATGTTGTGGCACACCAGAAAAGATGTGTTATTTATCCCACATGCGAATAAAATAAAACGAAATGGGTAGCGTCTGCTTTTGTTCGCCATCATGAAACTAACCTGACAACAGCACTGACGCAATTTTTGTAATACACCCATTTATATGCAAATTACGAAATCCCGACGCAAATGAAAAAACGACGCAGAAGCATAATTAAAATTATCCGTCTAGAACCAATTTCTTCTTCATCTATGCAGCACCCTTTCCCGATAAATGTTGTAGAAGAAATTCGCCGTTTAAACGATTAAAGCGTGCGGTATCCATGAAGTAGCCATTTTTGACGTAAAAGGGTCGCCGCCATCGCAGGGGCGATTTTCTTGAAGATTATGAAGTCGTAGCTCGTGCAAGGCGAGCGATGGCACTCACGAGTAATGCTGGATGTGATGAGCAGACCTCGGGTAATGGTTACTGGCTGTTATCAGCCTCCATCTTTCAGCAACGTAAAAAGCGTTATGAGCCAACCCGGAAAATTGCGTAGGTGGTAACTTTTTACGGTAACGAGTAAACACACTCTTTGCATTTAGGGGGTTTTAGCGAGGAACGTCGAACAGACGGCTTCTGATTTTCTAAAGCTGCGTAAACATAACTACAAATTACATTTCGGGCATCATGCAAAGCGATAAAAGCCGCAAAACGTCAACTCATTCAAACGAATTTATTTTAGTGTTACGACAGAAAGATATATTATATGCTACTATTCAACTCTGTCTATGCTGCGGAGTCTTATTTCTACTGATTGCGGTTTGGAACCGACCAATTAAAGATGAAACTTCCTATTAGAGGCTCGATAACTGCATTAATGCTATTACAGGATTTCAGATAACCTAATTGTATTCTCGTATGTGCTTCCCTACGAGCTTTATCAATTTCGACTTATCTAAGATTATGTGTGATTGTTTACAGGCAACGTTACATGAGCAAATCACTAAAATTTAATATTCATCTAAAATAAGCGAAATTATGAGAAGATAGCAGTTTTATTAGTTATGTTACAAAAAATCCAATTAATAAAGTACTTTTCTGTAGCTACTAACTATTTCTAAATAGGTACATTATTTTGACGTTTACTAACGTTGTATGAGTCGTAAAATTTTAAGGTGAATTAATTTGGGGAAAATACATGGAAACATGTGTGACAACCCTTTCTGAATCTAATTTATTAAACCGTAATTTAAATGCCTCGTCAACGACTACATAGTTTTAAACCTAATATTAAGGGCAATTAAGTGTTAAGTATTACTCATTTCAGAACTATAAAAACGCCTCCACCATTGGTAATTTCTATATTACAGCATGCCTACATACATACGTGTTTCTCAATGATTTAAATTGAAAAAAAGTTGAAAAAATGTTTTCGCAGAGGAACGATGTTTGATCAGAGCAAAGAAAATCGGTTAATGAGAAAATTGCAGATTGAGGACAGAGGGTTTTTTTGAGAATATGCAGCGAGTAAATAATTTAAAGTAGTTATAATATCCTGAAAAATTAATAAGTGAAACTGTGAGAGTAATTACTGCAGTTTCGAGTCTCGCTCCTGTATCATTACTGGTCTAATAGGATTCTCGCTTTGAATCATCTGGGAGAGAATCGTTTCATTACTATAATGAGTTCTGCTCTCGCTTTCGCCATTGTGTTTACTCTATTCTGTCATTAATAAGATGGGGATCGAAATTACAAATAGATGACATATCATCTCTGGCTTGATTGTACAAATCTGACTCAACGTTCACCCACACCACCTATCAATTCGTAGTAATGGTCTCAGCATGTGATTAATAATTTGCTCGAGGAAAGTGTTAATGTAATTTTATTCGTCCCGAAGCAGTAAAAATCTAAATGAAATTTTATGGAGGAAAGTACGGAGTGTGTTTGATGTCGGCGTAAAAAACACTCGGATTTATCGGTTGGCGAAGTTTCAAAATTGCGCAAACTTTTCTATACTATCAATTTTATTAAGGTATTTAACTTTTATATTTTTACGACGCCTCCAGGTCCACACCAAACAACGCATTATAAGTAAAGAAAGAAAATGAAAAGCTACCCTACTTGCGTTAAATGAAAAAAGTTGGAAATTTGTCTGACAAAAATCTAATCATCTGAATAAAATGGAAGAAATTACAGAAATTTAGATAAACTGGCCGAGTAATTTATTTGCGACACAAACAGGACCAAATAACGTTTGTTGAAAATCTTTAGTGTCACTGTTAAAGCAATACATTCACTCACCGTTATGCACGAGCAGTGTGGAATCCCTAGCTAGAGCTAGTTCCGAGTCCGTGAGGGTGGCGTCCGAGGCGTTTTCCGAGGTTGGGGTGTCGCTGAGGCCGGCTGGTTGTTGATAAAGGGGATGTTGGTACGTGTGTTGAGATCCGTATCTTCGGGGAGAGTCTTCGCCCTCAGACCCGCTGAGGCTGTACGCGGGGTACAAACGCCCCTTGCCTGAAAGAAGAAAAAATATCACGATTTCAAAACAATTCCGGAAAAAGTGCTCCTCTGGGACCAAACTTGAAACTTGACGAGGGCGTAATTAATTAGATATTCTGTATTTATTCTGGCGAAGAGCAAACAGCGGCTTGTTGGTTCAGGATGTGGCGCAAATTGTACAAACAGATACACTTTCATTTGTATCATGTGATGACGGATTTTTCACTAATTCGAAAGAATTTTGTTAATGGTGTGTCAGTTTTAAATTATAAATTAAAAAACTATGGACGCTTTTATTGGACTAGTTACAAGTCTATATTTTTCCATGTCAATTTTCCTAAATAGACATTTAAAATGTGAAAAATTTGTACGTAATTTCAGAGTGCTTTGCAAATTAATAAAATCCCAACCCAAACGAGTATTTATGAAAGTGATGACTTTCAGATCAATCCATATTTCCATAAATATTTGTTACACAATTACAATTTCAATAAAAATAAGTTTTATAAAATAAAATAAAACTAAGTTTTATTTTGTGGCCTCACTATAAATAGCACCGAACAAAACTATAGAAAACATATTTATTGTGGTAAATGAAGTTGAACATGTTGTTGAAATAAGTAAACTACAATTTTTTGTCGTTGCGAACTCAGCAAATTTCGTCCCTTTTCTGCTTCAAAACCTTGAATTAGAGGGTTTACGAGGGAGAAGGAGAAACACAATAAAACCTAATGTTAACCAGTTTAGGAAGTTTGTGATTTACTCGATAGTTCTTATATGCTAGTTATTAAAAGTAATAAATCTATCCTGAGTTGAGGTCATTGCATAAATCCCGCACAAGCCGAATCAACGAACCGCGAACTCCAACCAACCATTACTATTTCTACAACAGTTGGGGACTTCCCTCAATAAAAAAGCGATTCCGATCATAATTGCCCACATCAATCGCCTCCTCTTTCCATCTTAGTATGTGGAATGAGATTACCAAGAGGGACATGCATCTCTAGTTAAAAAAAAGTGGCGAATGACCATTTTTTATACGTACTTTCGTTTCCAATAATGCGTTTTGATTACAGCTCTACAGTAATAGAAAAAACATGTTTATAATGGAATATCAACTTTTTGTCATCTAGTTTTCAATAATCAATGCGTGATAATAGACTTAGATGGTATCTAGCCATCCGTAATAAACCATTCCAATTCAATCGTAGCAAGTTCAGTTGCGATTTGGAGTGTAGGACTAGGCAGTTCAATAACCTATAAGTACGGAAATGCGTCCACAATTGACAAATAGAAAAATTCTCTAGACAGACCAATTAAAAATTGTATTAAATTCTTAAGTCAAATTGTAAAAGCGAGTGCGGTAGAGCCATTTTGGAGTTCGAATTTAAACAATGCAATTGCAGAAAAATCAATGTATAATCGTACAATTATAATCGGCGAAAACTATTCGCAGTGTGGTGTTTGCAGAAATCTTGACAAAAATCACCACGTTTCAGTTCACTTTACTTCATTCCTACATGTTTGTGAGCGTGAGAGCTTTTCGCTGTTTAATTTGGTTATTTATGGTCGTTTCGGCTCACCCTGTGCCTTGACGTAATCATTTTTGTTGTGTCTTTTGGGAAAAAATCTGTCTCGCATTTTGAGCCCTTTAATTGTTTGCGAAAAGGGTTGAAGCCTGTCGCTGGGGGTGGGGTCCGAGTCTGCCGTCGATGAAGCGAGCGATGATTCAGTTGTCGTTGTCGGGCAATCAGCGGGTATTCCCCGGAGGCGCATTACGTCTCACACCTAAGTCATCCTTCATCTCCGGCTGCGCGCTCGTCACATCTCTTCGACGCCTTATGGCACGCACGGGGCGTCCCCGGAGACGTACCACTGACGTAATTCGCACCGTTCCCAGTGGAGGCCGCATGATTGCCGGAAGATGCCGCATGAATACGACGCCAAGCACACTTATTCCTATTGTGATGGAAAAAGGTGGCGGAATCCGCACGCACTTTTCTACAAATATGTTTGCAAAGTGACTGAATACCATGTCGAACTTGCACAAAGCTTCGTCTAGTGCTTTGGTATTCGGCTCGTGTTTATTTTTCACGGGTGCCAATGAAAGAATAAGAATAAGGTGGATTTGGGTAATTTATTTGCGATGCTGCTGGTAACAAGATGTTAGGTACAAAATGCAGCAGACTCAAATGGTGAATTAAACCGCTGATTATTTAAATTATTTTAATTCGTGACGGATGCTAATTAACATCAACACAAATAGGCACAAGTGGTACGAGTAAACTACTATTTGTGATGGAGTTTTCCAGCACAAAAGTGTTACTAAAATAAAACCACACCAGCAGGCATTTTCAAATAGTTAAAATTAGGAAAGTATTTATGGAAATTATTGCTTTTTCAAGTGCTTCTGTTCACAGTTCAATTTGCAAGAATTTTAATGAAACTTGGTTCTAAATAAAATACAATACGTTTTCCACTGAAATTTAATCTAAACATGGGCCGATGTATAACTTACTTTTGACAAAAAAAATATAAAAGTGCACAATTTATTTTTTTATTTGCTGGTGAGAGTAGTGTGAATCAAGAACACGACAAGACCTCCGTCTGTTTTTGACATTTCACAGTTTCTGTCATTTTGGCACTAAAGTCAAAAATTAGAGCTTCTCATTGTTTGCTCTTGGGCAATCAGCTAAATTTAGGGTTCTGCCTTGTTTCTTTAAGACGCCAAATGTTCTGGTCCAGAAATAAAAAGCCATTTTGGGGCAAAACTTTTTATTTGGGAAAACACTAAATTGTAGGACTCTACCCTGTTTTTTCATGTGCTCAATTTTTGGTGGTCTACAGATATATGGGTACTTTTGGGATACATAAAAATTAATACTTTTTGAAAGGTTTTAGACCTTTTTCGGATTTTTACTTTGGGTAAACAATTAAATTTGTAGGATTCTGTCTTGTTTTTTAAGACGCCTCATATCCTGGTTCAGAAATAACTTTTAATCCTACTAAATGTGTTTGCTTTTCGTAAATGCTGATAAGCTGATTAGACATTTAACATTTACTTAATTATAGATGAAAAAAGAAGCTACCCTTCTTATAACAAAATCACCTTCTTGTGTGTTATTATAATAATTACATCACTTCTCAGGACATTGCGAAATGCATGCAATTTATTTGAGATTACATTTGGTGTTGAACTTAATTAAATATTTAAATAAAACATTAGGTATTTGATTATTTCATTTATATTTTACCCTTGCTGTTAGTGTTTTCTTCTACTTCCCTTTACAACACTTTGCAAAATGTATAATATACAGGGTGCGCTAGAACTCCCGCCCCAGAGAAAAATTTCAAGTGAGATAAGATACCAAGAACATGAAAAATATGTTTAAAAAATTCAATCTGTCAAAAAATTTTGACATTTATTTTTTGAGATTTGATATATTTTTATGTCTATTTAATGATACTGATGGTCTTGTATAGGTACAAAAATTTTGCCAGTAAAAGCCATAAATAACATTGAACAGAGTAACAATTTAGGATACAGCTTTCTTGATTCCTCTTCTAATAGTCTGTAGCAAAAAAACTTGTAAAATTATTTTTCCAACAGAAATAAATAGAGTCAAAGTGCAAAATTTAAACTTTCATAACTTCGAAATTTTTATAGATAGAATTTTTTTAAACATTTTTTCCATATTCCTGGTATCTTACCTTATATAGCATTTTGCTCTGGGGCGCGAGTTCTGGCGCATCCTGTAGAATGTTTAAACCTTCAAAAACAATCAAAAATGAAAACGTTGTGCTAAGTAAAGATTTACATTCAGGGTAAAATGATCAGCAAAGTAATCAAATTAAGTCATCCATTTTAAACATTTTAAGGTAATTTTTTAATTTCGTTTCGTGTTGGTTTAGTTTTTCTTTTCAATAAGAAACAAACGTTTATTATTAAATGGATTTATTCACTTCTTTTGTAAATGTAACATGACACAAGCTTGATTTCCTATTAGGATTTTAAATTTTAATTTAAGTTCATAGTTTTATGGTTTGGTAAATTTGAAAGCATTCTTGTCAATTTTTCTTTTAAAAATATTTTTCGAATGATTGAAAAGAGTTACACGTAATAATTTTAAAAATTCTACGATTATCCGCCCCCTCATATTCAATCTTTAGACCTTCCATTCAGCAATACACTCTTCGGTATTTGGGTGAACAGCTGTTCGTTCCGCCCTAAATTATTCATTTCTCGAATGTGGAGCGCTTATAAATACCGCGACTCCTGATCCAGGTATGAAATATCGTCGTAGTTGGTCGAAACGTGTCTGCAAAAGCGCACCTGTCGGCGCGTCCCGCCGCCATATTCGACTGGAATCCGCATTGCAAATTAGGAACGCATCTGGCATCGACATCGCTTTTCACTGCACCAAGTCCTAGACTCAAATTAAAAATTACTGGAGATCGGTATCGACGAGCGGCCTTTGTACCGCCAAATAGAGATTTAATCAGAGCGTGTTTTATGTGAATATTGAATTGATAGCAAGCAGTAAATATACACGACTGTTGGTGATAAGATCGTATCGGTTGATGACAGTCGATGCATTTGCGTCCTTAATGTTTTGTTAGTGTTTGCGAATACGGGCGAGGGTGAATTACAGCGCGGCACGTGCCCCTTTACCATATTTTCCTATTAATTTACTAATTCATCTTCGTCAAAGCGTGGGATTTTGTGCAGTCAAAGAACACGAGCTTTGCAAGTATTTATAACGGAGAATACAGTTTACACCGTCACATTTTAACACTTTTTTTGATAGATTACGGCGATAATACGGTACATTTTAACGCAACTCCTTTCCTGACCGCCCACTTCAACCTGTTTAATTTCTCGCCGAAAAGCGCTATTTTAATATTTCAACTTTATGTCTTTTCCTGATTTATTCACAGCAATTAGAATACCAAGCACCAAAAAGCCACTCCGCATTATGAAACAGCTTTGTTATTAATTGAGCGTAATTTTGTTT